GGAGGAGGAGGAAGAAGATGACGAAGAAGAGGAGTGGAGGAAGAAGAAAACGAAGAGGAGGGAGGGGGAGAAGAGGAGGAGGAGTAGTAGTAGGAGGAGGAGGAGGAGGAGGAGGAGGAGGAGGAGGAAGAAGCGCACAGGGAAGATGGATTATCGGGAGAAAAATAAAATAAAAAAAGGCTAATACATCGGCTATGGCTAACGGACGACAACAAGAAGAAGAGGAGGAGGCGAAGGAGGAGGAGGAGACAATGACGAAGAAGAGGGAAGGAGAGGAGGAGGAGGAGGAGGGAGAAGATGATGATGAAAAAGAGGCAGGAGAAGGGCGGGAGGAAGAGGGGGAGAAAGATGACGATGAAGAGGAGGGAGGAGAAGAAGAGGATGTCGAAGAAGAGGGAGGAGGAAGAGGAGGAGGAGGAAGAGGAGGAGGTTGAGGAAGAAGAAGAAGAAGAAGAAGAAGAAGAAGAAGACCAAACCTTCACAGTAGGGGGCGCGATGAACTCGCCAGCGGGGGGGGGGGCGACGGCGTGACTACCAAGCGATGGCCCGGCTGGCTGGCGGGCGGCCGACGACGACGTTCTCCAGCTACGGGACGACGACGACGCTCTCCAGCTACGGGACGACGACGACGATGCTCTCCAACAGCGGGGGGGGGCGGGGGCGGACGAACACGGCACTCCTTCCGACTCGTCGAGCGGGGGTGAGCGGGGCTGAACGACCGAATCGTTTCCTCCCGCTCGCCCCACGACACTTCCCGCCTCCAAGTTTGAAAACAGCGGCCGATCTTGGCCGCCGATCTGCGACGATCGACGACGAAGATCCGCTTTTCAAACAAGGAAAAGCAAGGCCTGTAGGACCCGGTTTCCAAATTGGGGGTCACGGCCTGCCCCCACGGCGCCTGAAAACCACCACCCCGCCGCCGAATTTTTTTTTTCAGGCCCCAGCGAAATTGCGCTGGGGGCAACAGGAAGGGAAGCGGCCCGGGGCACCGGCCGGTCCAACCGGGAGGACCCAGGTCGGTGGAGGGTTCCCCGGTCCATCCGAGGACCAGCCTTGGCCCATACAAATTTTGTTCCTACGATCGAAACAACCTTTCCAGTTCATGATTCTTCCTTTCATTCGCCACATGTACAGAACGGTTCGTCGTCCACATTCACAGAAGATGTGCGACGAAGATGCGTGCAACCTAATCTTTATGCTTCCATCGGAACTGTTCATGGACAGACATGCTCTTCTCTCGGAAACTTGCCAAATTCCCCGAACGGAATGGTTAGAAAGTTTGTTGGATTTCATATTCGTCGAAGGAGATCGACAATATTGAAACCGATTCTTTCGAGCCACAACAGACGATATCATATGTTGTGCCTTCGGGCACTGCGCACGGGTAAAGTCGCGCGTCGTTTGAACCTTGGATCGTTGTCGTCCGTGCGTCGGCCTGTGTTCCCCGACTTTGATGCACATGCCGTAGTTGTTGAAAGTATAGTGGCCGGTGGCGGTGGAACAGAACAAGTCCATACGATGAATGATGATGAACCGAGGTCTACATCGTATGAAATTTCCACTCGAAAGAAGAGGCTTCAAAGACGGGCAACCTATCACGTTAAACGTATGCGTGCATTAAGAGTTGCGATTAAGAATCGCAGGAGGAAAGACGATATGGATGCTCACAAACGTTTTTTGCGGGGTGTGAGGCAAAGTTTGACCCTTGTAAATATCCTTCGAGAGATTCGAGCAACCGCCTCTGGCCAGTCACAGAGTGCATCTTCTTCTTCGAAGGAAACGCATCGTCATTGTTCTCGACCGAGGCAATCCCGAAGTATGTCGGGGAGAGCGGAGCAGTCGCACAATCCATCGGTTGTGATTCAGAATTTAATGAACAATCGGGAACATGGTGAGCCGGATAATCGAGATGAGGAAATGAATGATTTGGATGATGATCCGCCTGCTGATATGAATGCACTCCCGTCTGTACCCGTGGCAACACCGTATGCAGCGGTTGAGAACACCGTGGCTATTGTTACGAATGCTAGCACGGTTCAGGCATTCGGCACTGGTGGTTGAGAACCGTGCAGGTATTGTGGTGCAAAGTTGTGGAATCATGAAAAAAAATGGACAAAAATATGCTGCAGAAAAGGTACGAGACGTTGTCCTCTGTGGGAATGACCTCGAAAAGGGTCCCCGAAGCATGAGATTCTTTCTATTTGGACGTCTCAGACTCCCGATGGCCGATTCGTTCGAAACAATGCGAGGATAATCAATAATAGTTTATCTCTCGCATCCTCGCGGTTGAAGCAACCGAGCGATGACGTTCAGGGATTCCAGGGCCAACTTCGGGCTCAGGGACCGATCTATCATCGTGTCGGTGCATTGGTTGTGGGGGAAGGGGAACGTCATCGGTTTGCACAACTTTACTTGCACGATCCTCAACATTTGGATGATGTGATTGATCAAAGAGTGGATTTTCTTAATTTGCCTGTACACACGCTGATGCCGAACTTCACCGAATGAGACGACTACTAAGAAGGTTTCACGAGTTGCTACAACAGTGTAACAACTACGTGATGGACTTCATGACCATCGCCGACCTTCCGCCGGGAGCGTTGAATGGAAGGAAGTTGGTCATAAATCCGAATACCATGCCCGCGGAGGAACATGCGAGGCGTTACAACCGTCCGACGGGGCTACAGGAGGTCTGCGTTCTCATGACGGATGACCTTCTTCCTCGTGAGGTTGAGATTCGTTTACGTGCTCCTCTTCCGGGTGAGCAACCGACAGTTGTCGTTCCGGAGTGTTCCTGAGCGCACGACTGTTTGAGGTTTGTTTTACTTTTCCCGGAAGGAATTGATAGTTGGTCTGTCCGTCGTGCCTCGGAAGCTTGGTGGCCGCCAGGACTGAGTGCGAAGGAGTACTATGCGTTTCACCTACACGAACGCGATGGTGAAAGACCTTGCCTCCTTTATGCGGCACGTCTTTTCCACGAGTTTTGTTACATGGCTTACGCTAAGGTTGAATCCCTTCGCTTAAAATGGGTAAGATTCCATCAGAAAGACTTGCGGTCAGAATATTATCAGGACCTGCGAGACGCTCTGCAACAAAATCAGCACAGTGATGGTGTTGGGACAAAAATACTTTTGCGCTCCAGCTTCACTGGGGGACCACGGTATATGACCGAAATATATCATGACAGCATGGCAATCGTGAAGCAGTTTTAAAAACTCGATCTTTTTATCACTATGACGTGTAACACAAACTTGTCGGAGATCCAACAAGCCCTCTTGCGGGGTCAGTGTGCAACCGACAGGCCTGATCTTCTTGCCCGAGTGTTCAAAGGTTATCTCACCCAGCTCATTGACGAGATTAAGAAAAAACGGATCTTTGGGAGAGTGAATGGAATGTTGTATGTAGTGGAGTTCCAAAAAAGGGGTCTGCCGCATGCACACATATTGGTCATATTGCATCCGGATGATAAAATTTGTGATCCTGTTGCTGTTGATAACGTCGTGTGTGCAGAGATTCCGCCTGAAGGGGAATTGAGAGAAAGGGTTGTCAAATTCATGTTGCACGACATTTGCGGTGAGGACAAACCTGATGCTTCGTGTACCGAGAACGGAAAGTGCACGAAAGGGTTTCCAAAATAATTCATTTCCACGACAACCTTCAAAGATGAACAAAATTACCCTTCTTATAGGAGAAGACAACCCAGTGACGGTGGCTTTACTGTCGTTCAAAATCACGTTGTTTATGATAATCGTCGAGTGGTCCTGTATAACCCGTACTTCCTTATGAGGTTTAACTGCCACATCAATGTCGAATGTTATGCTAACATCAAGACGTGCAAGTATGTGTATAAGTACGTGTATAAAGAGTGTGATGGTGCCATGGTTTACGAACAAGATAATGATGCACCTGTCGATGAAGTCAAATCCTATCAAGATATGCGTGTTGTTGGTGCATGCGAGGCATGTTGGCGTCTGTTTGAGTTCGACCTTGCGGAACAATATCCCGCAGTCGAAAGGTTGCCCGTGCATATCGAGAACATGCAAAAAGTGGTCTTCGAACCAGGCACGGAAGATCATGTTATTTCCTGTGGGTCGCCGACCACAAAATTGACGGCATGGATGGATCACAACTCTTTGAACGCACATGTTCCTAAACATGAGTTCCCTT